AGGACTGCGCGGCCTCAGCTCTAACGAGGCTGCGACGTACGTGAGGCGCCTTAGCACGGTATCGTGCACGGTAAGTCTGGGCCGCAAGCTTAGGGTTTTAACTGCTGTTCGCGCTTAAATGCAACCGTTAGTCGTTGGAATCCGCATGTTTAACCGTGTCATCTTTACTTGTGCAGGGTCTCCTCTCCGCAGAGTTTGTGTTTGAAGCTCTGAAGGACTGCGCGGCCTCAGCTCTAACGAGGCTGCGACGTACGTGAGGCGCCTTAGCACGGTATCGTGCACGGTAAGTCTGGGCCGCAAGCTTAGGGTTTTAACTGCTGTTCGCGCTTAAATGCAACCGTTAGTCGTTGGAATCCGCATGTTTAACCGTGTCATCTTTACTTGTGCAGGGTCTCCTCTCCGCAGAGTTTGTGTTTGAAGCTCTGAAGGACTGCGCGGCCTCAGCTCTAACGAGGCTGCGACGTACGTGAGGCGCCTTAGCACGGTATCGTGCACGGTAAGTCTGGGCCGCAAGCTTAGGATTTTAACTGCTGTTCGCGCTTAAATGCAACCGTTAGTCGTTGGAATCCGCATGTTTAACCGTGTCATCTTTACTTGTGCAGGGTCTCCTCTCCGCAGAGTTTGTGTTTGAAGCTCTGAAGGACTGCGCGGCCTCAGCTCTAACGAGGCTGCGACGTACGTGAGGCGCCTTAGCACGGTATCGTGCACGGTAAGTCTGGGCCGCAAGCTTAGGATTTTAACTGCTGTTCGCGCTTAAATGCAACCGTTAGTCGTTGGAATCCGCATGTTTAACCGTGTCATCTTTACTTGTGCAGGGTCTCCTCTCCGCAGAGTTTGTGTTTGAAGCTCTGAAGGACTGCGCGGCCTCAGCTCTAACGAGGCTGCGACGTACGTGAGGCGCCTTAGCACGGTATCGTGCACGGTAAGTCTGGGCCGCAAGCTTAGGGTTTTAACTGCTGTTCGCACTTAAATGCAACCGTTAGTCGTTGGAATCCGCGCATGTTTAACCNGTGTCAT